CTTAATATAATGCCAAATTTTATATTATCATTCTAAAAAGGACATATTTTTTTATGAAGATATTATTTGTATAAAATGTATATATATTTTTATGAAGATATTACTTGTCAAAATCAAATTAGAATTAAAAAATACTGAGTATTCTTTCGAAAAAGATAGACCATACTATAAAAAATTATACTAGATGGAGTTTTTTTTATTTTTTTAAATTGTATTATTTCATAACGATTGAACTGATATATAAAAATTATCACATTATACAAATTTTTAAAACGTGTAGAAAAATTAGTACTATTCTAAATATACTCATATTTGTTTTGGATAAATTGGACCGTCGTATCTTTTGGTTTGCTTTATTTAAGTAAAATAATACAATTTCTAGTTATCCTTCAATATAAATAATATTTAAGTTTGATTTATTTAACGTTAATAATATAATTTCTATTTAAACTACTGCTATTTTTTTTTTTTATTTAATGAGGATAAAAGATAAAAAATAAAAAATAAATACTACTCATTTAACAATTATAGCAGTGGACTGTTCCGCCCCAAACTGAAATTGATCAACGCCTCCAAATAAAAATTTCCAACATAATTTTAAATTTTTATATAAAATTTCAATTGCATGACTTACCAAATATTTTGTAACACCCCTCCTTATCGTAAAATCAGAGTGCGCTAAATTTCGCAAAGTTATTTAAAAATAAAACCTTTTTACTTTGCGAAAACTGATTAGGGGTGCTACCTTTAAAAATCATGACTTAACTTAGGAAACCGTTGTTTTAATTTTAATAAAATCATCCAGTTACTGAAATCATAAGTTCTCAAAAGTTTGTCAAAACGAGTACGTCAAAAGTCATCAAAAACATCATCACAAGTCATCAAAATATCATAAGCGGAAGCGTAAGTCATCATCATATTTATACAGTCCAAAATATAAATATCCTGAAGTCCCCGTCAGGTCACGCTCATGCTCCCGGCCCGACGTCCTGACCTGAAAAACATGATAAAACTGGGGAGTGAGCACTATGGCACTGTGCTCCGT